TTTTTCTCTCGTCTTATCCACAAGAAGGATATCATCAGCAAAAAACATACACCAAGGTACATCCTCCTGTAACTGTTCGGTAAGACCATCCATAACTAAAGCAAAAAGATATGGGCTTAAAGCCGATCCCTGATGTAATCCAACAGAAATAGGAAAATAATTGATCAATCCTCCTTCAATTTGAACACAAGTAACAGCTCTAGTATACATATCTTTAATGACTTGAATATAAGTCATATCAACACCTTTCTTCTCAAGAACTCTCCAAAGGATATCTCTTGGAACCTTATCGTAAGCTTTTTCTAAATCAATAAAATCAAATGTAAATCCTCCTTATTATCTATGAACTTCTCCATCAAACCTTTCAATAAATGTATAGCTTCCATAGTAGACCTGTCCGTCATAAATCCAAATTGATTATGAGAAATCTTTGTAATACGTCTTAACCAAATTGTTTGTATATCAATTGAAAATAAAATTAGTTAGTTATATATCATATAATTTATAGGATTACATATTCAATATTTAAATACTCATTTGATTTATATATTATTTTATAATTAAATTACATTAGGTTTTATTAATTAATATTTGTTATTTTTTATGTAATATTAAAATTAAAGCGCTACATAAATTAAAAAAAATTCAATTATCTTGCAAGTTAATTACAAGTTCATATATTGGACTAATCTTAAAATAATTTTAAAATTAAATCATGATTTTATAATAAAGTGTGGTTGTTCCTACACAATAAATTTGGTAATTAATAGTTACTGATAAGGCCGTTTGTTGAATTTGTAGCATTTTATAATTATGCATTTGTAGATATGCTCCCGATGTTGTCTTACATCAAATTAACTGTTGTAACCTGTGACAATAAATGTTGCATAATGTTTGAAAGAAAATAATGATTGTAAGAGTTTTCTTGATATATACATGCTCATTTTGCTTGTTATTTTTTGAGCATATGTTATAGCTGAAGAAATGCAACAACGAACTTGTAGTCTCCTCGATCACATTTTTTTCAAAATATTGTTGGATCTCATGAATAGGTTCACCAAGCGAACTAGTTAAATATTTCGTTCTTCAAGTACGAGAAGACCTGTTTTGTAGTGAAAGAAACTATTTTTTTTCTAATTTATATAGAAAAGATTTTCAAAACAACAGTTAATTTTTATTTTATTTCAATTTCAAAAAATACATTTTTTGTATAAAGTTAGCAGTTGTGTCGCCAGAGCACATAAACAAGCTGATACCAGAACACGTTCTTAGTCTCAATTAACCCACGCGTACTTGAGAATGGTATTATTTTCTAACTCAGAGATATTTTTTATTATTAATTTTATTTATCCTTAATGAACATTAGGGGTAGGTTGGAATCGATATGGAATCTGACCATTGATGTTTCCTGAATCTAAGGTTTCTATCCAATCTCCGCAAAAAAAATGAAAGTGTGCTGCTATTTTTGTTCCTCCTATAAATTTCAAGTAATCAATACTTTCTTATCACCAACAATGGAATCAGAGAAATCATTGGATGATCAAATTGATTGTTTTTCGGATAAAGCAAACTCAGGGACTGAAATGGATCTGTAGTATCATCCAGAAAAATATATTACATATTGCTTATGTTGTTGTAGCTATAATTTAGGCATTCATTAACTTCAAGTTCAATGTTGCTTTATTCTTTTTGCTTCATGTAAATGTTCTTAAAATTATTCAATTCAGAAAAAAACTCTTCAATTTTACATCGGTGTTCATATGATCAGGTTAATTGAGCTATAATGCAAATCTAGCAAAGCCCAAGGGACTATTATTTATATGTTGGTTTGAATTATTAATAGCTTAGAACTGGCTTACTCAAAGTACCTCGAAGACTTGAAATCCAAAAGTCATTTCATGACTACCAAATTGTCAACCTTAAAGAAGCTTTGGAGCTAAGCTAACTAGTGCAATTTCCCTACGTCGCTCGAAGAACAATGTGAGGTGCCAAGTCACATAAGCATCAACTGTAACGCATCCGATCGAAATTTGATGAAATGTATGATATCCAAATTGTAAAAAAAATTATTAGCTTTCCAATGCCACCAAAATCATCTAATCCTATTAAGAAATGGTTGTGTTATGCCTAGGGTTGGATGTTGCAAGACAGAAGTTAGTTTTCGAACGTTCGTAAAAACTGTAGTGCATCTGCTTGGTATTAGATAAAATGAATAACATAGAAATGGCAGAAAATTTTGTCAGTTTCCTAAAAACACCAAAATCATCCAATTTTATTATCAAATGAATGCATTATGGCTTAAATAATAAGATAGGGTCAGCTATTGCAATACCAATTTTGATTTCTCTAATTTCTTTATAAAAGTTTTAATGATTGTGCTCGTAATTGACTGAAATGAGTATCATAAAAGGTGTAGAAAATTTTATTAGCATTTAAATTCGGTTAGAAAATAAGCGTGTTATGAGTGAAATAGTGTGATAAAATCAATTGTTGACAGACTTCAATTTCTCAGTTTTTTTAGATTGTATGGTTTAAGATTTTAAGCACATTCTCATCTAATGTTGACACATGCAATGTTCCTGAATCTTTTACAAATTCAACTGTTGAAAATCAAAGAGAATGATGTGCTGGTTTTAATTCCAATTTAAGCACAGCATTAAATTTTGTAAGGTAGATTAACTTTTTGTGAGGTAAATTTTATAATACTCAAACCACTACTAAGCATGTGTTTGTGATTTACCATTGAATAATGTCAAAATTTCTAGTCAAATAACACAGCGGATGTATTTGTGTGAAAGCACTCCCTAAGAGTCCAATATGCAATTATATGTTAGTTTTAAGTTTATTGTGCGTTGACATTCATAATTTTATTATCTCATATTTGTGACTTCATAGTTAGCATTAGCTACATTATTACAGCATCATCCAAATCTAATGAGCACTATTCAACCTGAAGTCAAGCTGCCATGGCAAAGGCATACAAACAGATCGAGCAACTAATGTTTCATATAAGTCTCATAATTCAGTGGACCTATCTTACTTTTCATCTTTTGTATCTTCAAAGGTTGAGGCTTCACACTCGTCATCAGCAGATGAACCTTCTTCCTTAGGTTATAATGCTTAATTATTTGTCAATCATTTAATTATTTCAGATAATTTACATCCTAAAAATTAGTTTTGATCATAAAAAAATTTGTTGGAAAAAGTAAATACTCAGTGATTTGTGTATTTGCAAAAGATTTTTTTTTTTCAAAAAAAGTATTGCCGGCTAAAATTGGCTTACATATCCTCCCTTAGTCGTTGCAAGAAAAGAGGCCTTCAGGAGAAAAGAGCACAGTGTTCTTTGCAAAAACAATAGATAAAAGATTTATTATAAAGCAAATAAAAATTACAGTTTGATTCATTTTTAAAATTTGGACCACAATATTTAACTAGTTGTATTTCGCTCAGATTTCAATGAGTGAAACGTGTCTTGCAAGTCATCAACGTGTTTCTCAACTCCAGATCATTAACTAACAAACATGTTCTATATTCATTTAGATCTGAGCTAAATTCCTAAATTGTAGGTTAGACAAGACAAATGACAAAAATGTTAAACTTGATGTTAAGGTTATGAACAATTTACTCTTTCAGACAAATATTTCATGCAAGTATGAACTCAAAAAGTGTTCTTTCTTCCAAACAAGTTTCTGTTAAAAATGATCCAGACAAAGTTAGATGAAAACTTTACTGAGAACATGCATCTGCTCCAATATAGACATCAAAAAGACTCCAAAAAAATAAATTGTTGCATTTTTTGAACCTGTGGAGAATAACACGACTGAAAAAAAAAAAGACAATGCATGATTGAAAAATAAGGATGGTTCTGATGTTGAAGAAGAAGGTGAATAATTTATGCAAATATCATGTTTTAACTGATAACATATGAATTATTCGTTGCTTGCTTTGGAATACTTTTGTTTAATTTAAAAACATGGAAGATTCAACCAATAAGTTCGAGCAGATAAATCTAGCATCAGGAGGTTGCATTAAAAATAAGAATATTTATGTGTTATCAATGTCAGAGACTATTCAAGTATCAGTAGCATGAACTCTGCATAAGAAATTTATAAAGAAATGAGACTAGCACATGTTAAAATTTATCTATATTTTTTTCTTCGTATAGGAAAGTCTTTTCAAATTTTATTTGATGGTTGAACCGATACAAAATTATATGTAAATTAGAAGATAAATAATATTTTTTTTGGTAATTTTGTTGATTCATTATAAGATGATTTAAAGTTCGTTTCTGTCATTTACTTGAATTTTTACAAAAATTGTGCAACTTGTAATCTTATAAGATTGAACATTTCTCATTTAACTTGTGAAGAAATTCAAAAAATATATGAATTTTTTTCTTTTTTTTTCTTTTAAAAGATATTGTATGTTAGCAACAATAAAGCTCTGTTTGGGAAAATTAGTGTTGTTTATTAAATAGTTATAAAGTTATCGGTAAAATAAATATTTTTAAAATTCTTTTGCGAGTGCTATAACTTGCATGGGAACAATCTCACAGAAATAAAGATAATAAAAAATATCTTGTGTAGGAACAACCACACATATCATCAAATCATGATTTAATTTTGAATTTAATTTAAGATTAATACAATATATGAATCATTAATTAACTTATAATTTAAGTGAAATTTGTATCTTTATTTATATAGCACTTTAATTTTAAATGTACATAAAAAAGCTAATATTAATTCATAAAATATATAATATATTTTAATTATAAAAGAAAATATAAATAGATAGCGAGCATTTAAATATTGAATATGTAATCTTATGAAATTATATAATATATAATTAGTTAACGAAATAAATATTTTTTTTTTTCATTTCATTTACCAACAACCAAACAAGTCAAAGGTATTCAGAATACACTAGTTTTACTTTGTATGCTCCTAACCAAACGGAATAAAATCCATTTGCATTTACTTTACAAACAACTAAAGAGCTTTTGAATATTCAAAAGACATTGAAGTCAAAATACTTTGCATTTCTTTTACACAGCATTCCTTCTTCAACAAACCAAACAACCCTTAAAAGAAAAAGAATGGCATGCACCATAAACATCATACAACTCAAAAAAGTCACCTTTTGGAGGCGGTAGAGCCAAAGCTTCAATTTCAAGTAATCAATGAGAAAATTTGAGCTACTTCTTGAGATAGCAAAGTACCAAAAAAAATAGTGTTCTCGTCGACATTCTTCTATTCTTCATATCATTGGTTTTTCATGATATATAGATTAATAAAAATCATTAAACAGTGTCCAAAGAAGTAACTTATGAAGTTTCCTTTTAGCAAGAAACAAAGAGAGGACAAGTTGAAAAATTTTATCTAGAGTAGTCAGAAAAAATAGACAGGACAGAAGGGAATTAGGGAAAGTATATGAAAACTCTATGTAAAGAATGCATTGCTTGTAAGTCCTAGAAGTCAAGAAAATTGATCTTAAATATTTAAAAGAGAAATTTATATACATACCACACAATTCTCATGTATTTACATATGTAAAACCCAAAGTTTGATATTTACACTCAGAGCACCTTGTTGTCATAAGATGATGAATGTTAGTGATGGTGATATTTTTGATGTGATGTTAAAGATTTGAGTGGTATGTATGCAAATATGAATGTTTAGGTGTTAGATGTGTAAATACATAAGAATTGTGGGTTAATTATGTAAATGCCCCTATTTAAAAACAAAAAAGTAGAATACCTCCTCATAACTGCCATCACCGAAAGTTAATTGAATGAGTGATCTCTCGTATGGATGCAAGGACCACTTTTTAGGAAAACTCTCAATGTACACTCTGAGAGGAACAGCTAATTCCTTGAAACAAAATACAAAAACAAATGAAAAAATAGTTGGAGAAAAGTTGCTAAGATTTTCCTGAGAGAAATTAATCAATAAAATATCTCACTTTCATTAAAGCATCAAGTTGTTTTGCCCCTTTATTTCTCTCTCGCTTGGCAATATTTGCAATACCTTATGAACAAAAGCAGTATCTCAATTTTTACTTCTGATACAACAAAAAAAATCTAAGTGAAGGAATGTCAGCAAAAGTACTGATTCAAATTTCTACCCTTTGTAGCAGCAATATTCCTTGCCTTCCTTAGTGCCGAAGAAAGTATATCTGCTGAAGGCATCACCATGGGCAGCTTCTGAAATGCACCAATTGTTTCTAGTTTTTCCAAAGGTTTCACCTGATGTGGCATGCCATTAAAAGATTCTACTTCTGTATAATGTGGCATATCAATTAAACTTACAAACATCTTTTATTTGTTCCCTTCTTACTTAGAATGTTTGATTGTCACTTAAAATAAATATTAAATATAACTGAAATGTGAAAATATGAAAAAAATAAGGAAGCAAATGCGTTTTTACATGTCCCAAAAAAAATTGACTAGATCACCGCATAAAAGTGAACAGTAGAAATATAGCCCACAAATAAGCATCTTCTAGTTGCAAGAATATCAAAAAATTCAGAACGTTGAAAATTAATGAAATTAAGATATCATGGCTGCCATAAAAAAACAAGATAAGTTAACTATGATGAAAGAAAAATGATTAACACCGTTAGGAGGAGAAACCTTTTCATGTATATTATTCAATAGAGGTCCCCATATTTATAGAAGAGTAATCAATATGATAGGCCAAGGTAAAACAAAATAAATATACAACATTAATTATAAATAGAGAAGTTTCTTAAAACAAAATATACTACATTAACTATAAATAGAGTAGTAACTTAAAACAATATTTCCCCTCATGATTGAGCATGCACATCAATTCACTTTGACCTAACATAGCTATAAATGACTAAGTAAATTCAAAGCTTTGCTAAATATATATGTCAGTAAATATCATCTTTGATAGCACCACATCATGAATGAAGCTACAGTCAACCTCCGTGTGTTGTATTATTCTTTCATGGAATATATGATTGCTAGAAATGTAGGTGGCAACACAATGTTAGCATTTTAAGACCGTAGATTATATAATAAATACAAAAATTCTTTTAGGAGGGTGGTCTTCAGTTTTACCTATATCACTTCACATGTAGAGCATGCCATGGCTATGTGTTTTGCTGCAGAACTTACATGCTTAGTCACTCCTTGAGTGATGTATCCTATTGGAGCTCAAAATAAATAGGCTTAATAAGATCGTCAAAAAGAAAGGAATTAGTCGCATCCAATTACAGCAATGTCTAGCCTTAATTAATAGCAAGAAACAAAAGAATTCAAACAAAGTAGAGTTTAGCGCAAGAGATTTGACCCCAAGAACTTAGTAAAACCTTTAGCAATCAAGCATATTTCACATCTATCAATAGAGAAATTTAAGATGTAATTTTCTGGTAAAACCCCATTGATATTGGATTGACTTGCTGTTTGGACGAGGGTAACCAAATCCCATTTTGTTGATTTAGTAAATCAATCGTTTCATTACTCACAATATGTTCCCACTGTAGATCCTATAGCGCCTATTATAGAAATTAATGACAGAGAGAAGTCAAACTGTGAAAATATGGCCAAGGGCCGTATAATAATAAGTACCGTAATCAATACGCTACTGTTTACCTTTATGAGGGTAACAAACAAATCGAGATGAAAGAAAACTCTACTAGGTGAATCCTTAGTTGGCTCAAACAACATAAATGGAGTTATTGCAAACAGAGGAGGGTCATAGTGTGTAAATCTTTAGGGATGAACCTATGAGTATAACTACTTCGAGAGGATGAGGAACATGTAGAAAGCATGTCTTAGAAGAAGGCAGAGGAGTAAGTAGAGCGCTCATGAAAAGTAAGATGTGCTCAAATATATAATAGTTTAGTGGTCTGGTCATAACAATGATAAGCATTTTGAAAATGAAAGTATCCTAAAAAGATTGGCAAAATAACCAAAGAAGAAGAGTCTGTCACAAGTATGAAATAAAAGTACAAAGTACTCAGCCAGAGCTCTAGATGTAATAGGAAAAAAGAACTTTATTTCCTAATAAATGGTGAGTGCATAATATAGACAATACCTCAAACATAACTATGTGACTCGTGAGTGATCATCAATAAAAGAAACCATGTAAATAAATCTAATATGGATAAGGATAAAATTTGGACCCCAGAATATCAGAATGAACTCATATAAATAGGACACTATTAGGAATCATATGAAAAATGCAAGAAACAACCAATAATACTTGGCTTAGAAATATTACATTAAAAGTTGGATAAAAAAATCAGTGACATGAAAAAACTACTACTCTTTTTTTGGTGAAAGAAGACCTAAATAACAATTCCAATGATAAACAGTGATGATGTAAGATAGGAAGTAAGCTTCTTAGGATCCTAAAAACCACCAGCTTCAACACCTCCACAAATTATATTTTTTGTATTAAGATCCTAAAAACCACAATAAGAATAAAAAAAATGCATGCTAATTGTAATTATTAGAGAAACAATGAATGGATAATAAATTAACAAAAAAATTAGAGAGCATGTAAAAGATATGGGAGAAATAACTCATAAAAAAGAAAGTTGGAGCCTTTCCTAAACAAAGGTAAAGCCTTTCCCAGAGCGCTCTTTGTGTTCATCATGCCTATGAACTGGTTACCGCTAATTCAACATTAGATCTCAGTCCATGTCATTGGGTTTTCAAATTAAAGTTCCATCTTGATGAATCTTTTAACTGCCATAAAGCATAATTGGTGATTACATGCTTATAGATCCATGGCATCAACTACATAAACTTTCCCCACGTCGCTCGACTTTATTATATTAATCTTCTTCTCTTAGTTGCCATTCATTAAGTATAAACCTTGCTCCAAATGGATGGCAAAAATGCCTTTTATGGGTACCTGTTTGAAGTTGGTTATAAAGAGAAACTTCTAGGATAAGTTGCAACAGAGAATAACAAAATCTGCAAGCTTCGAGAAGTTATATGTTAGTTAAACGAAACAAGTTACATGTCCGACTCGACAAACCATGCAAAGTTCTAGTAGCTATTAGTCTTCAGAGTAGCAAGATTGATCATCCTATCTTTATTTGTCATAGTTTCTATGGCATAGTGATTCGAACTGTATATATCGATGTTATGTTTCCTGCAAAAATTTGATGCATCCCAAACACTTTCGAAAGCAAGTTCGAATGTAGCAAAAAAATTGTTCCACTCTCAAAGAAAGCATATGAGAAAAATTCTTGAAAAGACTATTCTTCTTGATTGTAAGCTTGTTGAATCTCCAACAAATACTCTAAAACATCCAAGAATAAAAAAAAAAATCTTGAGAATGTTTCTCGTTGTCAATATTGGTTGGCAAGCTTATAAAATTATCACTTGACTTGATATATCACTTTTTGTTTGTGACATTGACCTACAAATTTTAAGATATATCAAAAAATTGATGAAAAGTTTTATCAATCAAAAAAACCATCATTGAGAATTGAAGTTATTTTGATGTTGACAATATTAAATATGTTAAGGGCTACTTGTAAATATTATTTTTTTGGTGAAAATCGCATGTCATAGAAAAGAAAGAAGAAAACTATTGTTTTTAGATCTACAATTGAAGTTGAATACAAGTTCATTGCTTATTTTTCTTGCCAAATGTTATGAATTAAAAATCTAGTAGAAGAATCTAACTTCACTATAACACTGATTATGATCCGTACTAATTAAAATCAAATAATTATCCATATTGCAAGAATCTTATCTTCCATTAAAAAAAAAAACATAATGAACTGGATGGTCACTTCATCACAAATGCAATATAGTCGAATGAGATCATTATTGCTCAATGCTTCATCCAAGAATAAGTAGTTAACATCTTTAACAATGCATTGTAACATCATTTTTTTCACTAACATACATATGCTCAAACTTGATGGCGAGTATTACCATAAAAAGTTTCTAGATTGAAATGATTGATTAATATATCCTTATACTTTAGGATATTCTCCTACTTGTTACCTTTGGTCAAATTTACATTTTAGTTGTATATGAGCACTTGTATTCAATTAATGAGAAATAACAAACAAATATTTCTCTCAGAGATGCAAATTCATGAACATATAAATCAACATAAAATTCATCAATTTGTTTATAGAGAACCCAACCTCTGACTTTGCTAGCCAATTCATGTGATTTGATATGCATCACACTTTAATTTTTGGAAATATGACAATAAACTTCACACTAAGTCAATTATTGATTAAAGTGTATTAGCTATAATTATTATCATTAAGAGAAGCATAAGATTTGTATCTAAAAAGAGCACATACTAGAGAATCTTGAATTAGGATGTGAATGGCTACAAAAAGAAAATTTTGTGAAATGATACTGTCTTTAGGGGCAAACATAAATGCATGCTCAATTCTTGTAGATTCACAAAAATAACAGCTAAAATTTGAAGAGTGCAATAAAACTATTAACTTTCATTCTCAATCACTTGTAGATTAATTATAATTAAGCTATATCAAATGCAAATACATAAATTTAGTGGTTCTCTTTGAGCAGTTAGATGATGCTTTAATAAATAAGAAAGTCTAAAGTAATACACATAAATGTCCCTTGTAATCGATCTTTCCTTTTTTTTGCATCAGTGTCAATTTGGTTAGCTAGCAAATATTAATCGCTTTTTATGAAGTTTCAAAAGTAAATCAGCTCAAATTTAAATCTGACAAGGCTTAAGATCAAAGCAATGCGGGCTAGCTAATCTTGAGCAGGCAACATATTGTTTAACCAGGTCAAAGTGGGATTGCTCAAGATAAAATGATCAACTAACTTGAGAAGTTTTTTCTTAGGAATGTTGCCTTGCTTTCAAACACTTGCACTTCATATAAAAAAAATAAGCTCCCAAAAATCATCAACATCAAGGATCAACTTCTTGCACCTATTTTTAAAAGTAACATCTAAAGGGAAATAGAATTAAAGAGTTCATCCACTCAGGAACATTTTGATAAATATCATTGAACTTACACAATCCTATTGGTATAATTAATTCTTATGATTGTGGAACAATTATAAAGAAGGGATGACTCAAGGATAAAGTTTAACAATTAATTGATCTCTAAAATAAGATATCCAAAGTGCCAAAACCATACTTCTTACGAGAAGTAACTGAGCTTTATCGTAGAGAGTACCTTAGATCCAATATGATGGACAAAAGCATAATCATTATCAACAACTTCACCAGTAGTTGAATGTATGCTCCGCTGAAAACACTTGAAAGAGCCAGCCTTTACGTGCAATGTAGGAAGAGCTACTGCATCCAATTTGGAAAACAACAGCTAAGTTATAACATCAACTAAAAACCTTTGACAACTTAAAAAGAGAAAGCAACAGATAAATCGTAACAATTAATCTCACCAATTAGAGGGAAAAATGGGCATTTACATACATACCACACAATTCTTATCCATTCACATATCCAACATCTAAAGTTTCACATTTACATGCATGGCACTTAAATCTTTAACATCAAAAATACCATTTTAAAGTGAAAAAAGATATTTTCATGCATAGGTTTATCACAGCAAAGTGTTATGAATGTAAATATGAAAGTTTAGGTGTTACATATGTAAATATACATGAACTGTTTGGTAGTATATAAATTCCCCTCTCCCAACCCAACAATCCCCACCCCCACCCAAAAAAAAAAGATGTTCTAACGTATTTAGCCAAAAAAAGCATCTTTAATTTTCTATATAATAAAATAGTTAATATAGGTTATTTGCTGGTGTTCGGTTTACTGTAAATTTGTTTTCTTCATGCTTTATATAAGACCCAAATTTTAGGCCAGCTATTCATTTCCTTGATGTAAAGCAAATCCGCACATTTAAGGGTATTTACATTACATTTTGGCTATAAAAAGCAAATAAAGCAAAGCGTGTTAATGTAGCAATAAGCAAGCATGCATCCACCACTCCACACCCCATGTTTGTGGGAGTAAAGGCCTCGAGCACCCTTATTTTAACCAGCTGAAGCAGATAAGCATTTGAAATGATTTTTTGTAACTCTTTTTTTTCAAAAAGAACTAAAATATAGTTAAATATAATAACACAGGGAAAGAAACCAAACTCATATAAAAGATACCAAAAATCATAAGTACCGATTAACTTAAGTTGTTGATAGCACATTTAACAAAATAGCATGCAAAAAAACATCACCTCTTGATAGCTGGTATTCTTTTCCTCTAGACCGAAGCAGGAACAGTTTGCCGGATGATGGAATCAACCACTGTTGGATGAGGCGTAAGATTCTGCTGCCACTTGTCATAACTGTTATATCCAAAAACTGTTAATTATCCTTTTCAGAAATGCGAGATAAGGAAAAGGGGGAGCCTGGGAGGAAGGGAGATATAGGAGGAGATGGCTTATTGGCCATGAAATATGATGCCAAGAGGAGCTCAACCAAAAGCGTGACAACTAGAGATTATTAAAGGAGAAAGCTTACATAAAAGTAAAACGGAGGAGTACAAGAGGATGGTCAATTTAGGGCTTTTATATGGTAGTTTCACATAGCAATTTTTCCAGTCAATTTTAGATTTAGAAAACTCATCAATCCCAAAAAAATAAAAATAAAAAAAATGAAAACAAAAAATAAAATAAACTTTGAAAAGGCTCCCGAAGCAAGTGGACTTCTTCGACTGAAGAAGGTTCCCATCCTCGTGTCTATTATCAGGCACACTGGGCTGTTTGTTAGCCAGTTTTAAGCAGGATTTAAGCTAAATCCTGCCAAACGGCCAAAAACGCCAGAGTAAATCCTGAGCTCCCCTATATCCCAAAATGACGCCGATTCATCGTAAAAAGCTACAAGCGAAGAGGAAGAATGGCGCGAACAGGCTTACCTTCGTCAATGGTTTCTGGTAGTAACGGAGCGAAGGGATGCGAAAGGTGAGAGTTTCGGTACTTCCCAGCTAACTGTAATGGCGACTGTATCGCGAAGGTCCGTTCATGAAGGAGCCGGGAGGGAAAGGTACATCAGCGAGGGTTTTGGGAGGGGGAAGATGTAGGCGAGAGTTACGGGCAGAGAGGAGGAGCGAGAGGAGGAGCGGGGGATGGGTTTT